GAAGGAAGGAGAATAGGGTAAGAAACATATCAGCTATGATTGAATTGTAGCGCAGACTCTTTGGGCTGAATGGCCTGGTCCTGCTCCTGTAAGTTACGGCCTTACTATGGTCCAAGAATGGATAGTTGGTGTTTATTCATTAATATGCATAGTATTCCAATGCCCCATGACCCCACTGTATCGGCAGAATATGGGACAGGACCAGGAGGAGGCCATTTGGCCCTTTCAACCTATCCTACCATTCGCTAAAATCACGGTTGATCTGACTGAGTTCTACCTCCCCACCTGTCCTCACATCCCGTGACTCCCTTGAAGTGAAAAATCTCTCACTCAGCCTTCGATCTAGTGACTCTGCCTCGTGGGGAAAAATCTTCATGAAGAAAGTTCCCCCTCATCTCCATCTTCAACAAGAAATGTCCCCAGCTCATCCCTGGATCCACCTTTCCTGCAGAGTCGTGTCCCAGCTGTTTGCAAACGTTCAGAGATTCTTGGCTTCAGTCACTAACTCTGGGTCTGTATCTCAGAACCCTTTGGTGTAAAAACGGCCTTCTGGTTTTCTGTTCTACATTTCGGACGTTTCATCTCCTATCTGTGTTCCTTCAGTCACGGTCTCTGTTTCTATCCATATCCCTCCCATTCTGCATGTATTTTCAATACCCCATTTTAAAAACAAATCACCCTGTAACCACCTTTGTTGTGACAAAGACAGCCCAATATCTTAGATAGCACAGCGTGAAGTTGGATGAACACAGCAGGCCAAGCAGCACCAGAGGAGCAGGAAAGCTGACGTTTCGGGTCAGGACCCTTCTTCAGAAATTTCTTTGTTACACTGTGTTCTCCCTGACTCCAGCATCTGCAGTCTTGCTATCCCAATATCTTAGTTTTGTTTTGTTTTGTTTGGCATTTGGGCTCCTTCAGACTTGGAAGTCTCCTGATGTTTGCTGCACCCTCTCTATTGCTGATTGTATCATGCCATCACTGAATTCTTACAGAAAGAGGCTATTCAGCCTATCATTGCCTGCACTGGCTCCTCAAATGAGCATCATTACCTACAGCCAATCTCATGTTTTTGCTCCATATCTCTGTGCACCATCTCCATCCAACGAATCATCCAATTCCCTCTGGAATCCCTTCATTCAACCTGCATTCACCACATTTTCAGACAGTGCATTCCACACCCTCACTGCTCGCTGGGAGAAAATGTTTTTTTTTCCTCTTACATCATTCTTGCTTCTCTTGTGCATCACTTTAAATCTGTGCCCCTCTCGTTCCTGTTCCTTTTACAAACTGGAACAGCCCCTCCTTATCTACTCTCTCTCAACTTTGTTTTCCACTACTTAATGTGGAAGCACCAGCAGCTTTGGGGTGTTGCCAGTGGGCCGCGAGATGGTTGCTGTGGCCGGGCAGAACTCAGGAAGGGGCTGGGGGATGCCAGAGCAGCTCCAGAATGGGATGGCAGTCGGCAGTGAGACAGCTGTGCAGAGGCACAAGGATTGAGAGATCGAGCCCAGTGGGGTGGGGGGAGATCAAGCCCAGTGGGTGGGGGGGTACAGGGAGAGATCGAGCCCAGTGGGGGGGAGATTGAGCCCATTGCAGGGGGGTGAAGCCCAGTGTCGAGTGACTGTAGACCCATAGCTAGAGGAGGACTGTAATGTTGAACTTTTAACTTATTTCTTTAGTTTTCTACTTTTTAACCTAATATTTTGTTCCTAGGTACCTTGTACCTAATATGGTGCTCTGTTTGGACACTTTTCCTTGTACTCCTGTATCCCTGTACTTGAGTACCTGTGACAATAAAACCCAATCTAATCTCATCTAATCTCTGTCCAACTCGCTCATCGTTTTGAAAACTTCTGTTCTGATTTTGCTGTCAGCCACCTTCTCTCCAGGGAGAACAGTCCCAACCTCATCGCTGCTGTGGGACTCCCACAGGGAAAACTCCAAATGTGGTCTCATTGAACGTTAATGCAAATGCATCATTATGTGGCCCTCGTTATAAGGAATTTTATTTATTTTTCGTTACTTCCATAGAATCTTGAAGACCTCAGGACATCCCAAAGCATTTCTTAGCAAATGAAGGATGTTTTTTGTCGGAAACACTCAGGAATTCCATCAGCTTCTCAAAGGCTTTAACCATCTGTGATGCTGCTTTAGGGAGGTACTGTCCTGAACTCTCATGTTGGTCTCTGTTGAATTCAAATTATGCCTCATACTTTTTTCACACAAATTGTGCAATCACACACTTTACTAACGTTGAATTCCACCTGCCCCGTGATAGCCTATTTCACTGTTGTATTAAAGTCTTATTGTTCACATGTTTGGAATCTGATCCCATTAGTCTTACATCCAAGTCATCAAATCAGTCCAGGACCTGTAATCCTGCAGTCGGCAGCACTGGGTGAAACATTGGCTCAGTGGTTAGCACTACTACCTCACAGCACTGGGGACATGGGTTCAATTCCACCCTCAGGCGACTGTCTGTGTGGAGTTTGCACATTCTCCCCGTGTCGGTGTGGGATTCCTCTGGGTAGCTCCTACATCCAAAGATGTGCAGGTTAGGGTGGATTGGCCATGGGAAATTACCCATAGTGTCCAGGGATGTGTAGGTTAGCTGTGGGAAAATGTGGGGTTACAGGGACAAAGTGGGACTCAGGGTGGGATGCTCTTTGGAGGCCTGGTGAAAGCTCAATGGGCTGAATGGCCTCTTTCCACACTGTAAGGGCACTATGAGCTTACAGAGACAAGAGGAAACTATTCCACAACAAAATTCACTTGTGGAAAACTGCTGTTGCCTCCATTCTAAGCAGTTTTCAACCCACTTGTCTGATGCGATACCTCCCCAAGAGGTTTCTGAAAGTCCATGTACACCACATCCACTACATTACCCACCTGCTCCCAACGGTCAATTCTCTCAGGTTTGCAGAGTCAGTCAGCAAGGAAGAGAGAGTGAGTTGGGGTTTTCTAAGTGTTGGCCAAAGAATGGGACGTTGGTGAATGGGAACGGGGGAAGCTATGCTGGGACACTTCCCAAGATTAGGCCAGTAACAGGAATGGCCATCCTCTGCACCCCAGCTGGGGCGACTTTGAGAAGTCACTTCCACTGGCAGAGTGACAACCCCCTCCTCACTGGGCTGGGAGACCTCCTCAACCCCTGTCCACTCCCCACCAGCTGCTGTGGCAGGCTGGGAGAACCAACGGATCCAGAGGTTCTAAAATGATGGCGCCACTTGGACGGAAGGTGGAGATTTTAGAGGCACCCAATCCTGCAGAGGGTGCCTCCCTCCAGCCCAATGTCCACACCTTCCCCGGCACAAACCTTCAATGCTGGTCATGTCAAACTCCCTGGTCATATTGGCTGTGCCAACCTCTCCTACAAATCTACGACAGCATTGACATTGAAGAAAAAGGAGCAAGGCATTTCTGACCGTCCAGCATTCCAGCGCCCAACTGTCAGGACATAGTATCCAGTGGGCAATGCCCAGAATCCAGTGCACAGAAGGCCTATAGCCTGGCATCCAGTAGCCAGTCCCTTGCATCTAGCGGCCAGTGCCCAGCACCCAGTGCACGGTTCACAGCACACAGTGCACAGTGTTCAGTCCACAATCCATGACGATATTTCATTCATTCCTTACAAGCGACAGATTGCAGTTAATGTTTCTAAAGGAATCCCTGTTCCCTTTCCCTAATAAAGAAAGGCTGTTAGCATGACGCAAGGGGAGGCGATGGCCTCGTGGTATTATTGCAGGGCTGTTAATCCAGAGACCCAGATAATGTTCTGGGGACCTGGGTTTGAATCCCACCACAGCAGATGGTGGAATTTGAATTCAAAAAGTATCTGGAATTAAGAATCTAATGATGACCATGAATCCATTGTCGATTGTTGGAAAAACCCATCTGGTTCATTAATGCCCTTTAGGGAAGGAAACTGCCATCCTTACCTGGTCTGGCCTACATGTGACTCCAGACCCACAGCAATGTGGCTGACTCTCAACTACCCTCTGGGCAATTAGGGATGGGCAATAAATGCTGGCCTGGCCAGAGCTGCCCTCATGCCGTGAATGAATAAAGGAAGACCCATAAACCTTATAGCCAAGAGAACCTTCCACTGCCTTTAATATCCTCCCCACTTCTTCCCCTCTCCTTCTGCCTCATCCTCACTCTTTATCTTCCACTCCTCCTCCTCACCTCCCCTCCCTTCCTCCTCTGTCTCTTCCCTTCCGCTCTCCTCTCCACCCTAGCACCTCTCTCACACTTAGTGCAGGGAAGGTGGGGGGGATGGTGGCGATGGGCTTGAGGGACTGGAAAAATTGGTTAAAAAGAAGGAATGACAACATGAAGAGGCTGTGTCCCGGGAGCTATGAGATTGGAGCCTTTCATTCGATAGGTGGGCTATTCTGGGCAGAAAGGGTTAATCATTTAGACATGGCGGTCCATCTGTTGCTAGGCAACCTAACTCAAAGCGCTGATTCAGCCT